GGCAGGTTTGGCCAGCGGGGCCCGGGTGGGGGACGCTTTGCTCTTCCCAGCTGTCTTTCGGGAGCAGGCAGGGCCTTTTCCAGCCAGGAAAGCCCGCGGGTGCCTGACCTCCTTTTCCCTGCGGTGTCCCCAGCTGCAGAGCCTGCTGGACACCAAGAGCGTGTACATCCTGGACTGCTGGTCCGACGTCTTCATCTGGATCGGGAGGAAGTCGCCGCGGCTGGTGCGGGCGGCGGCGCTGAAGCTGAGCCAGGAGCTGTGCGGCATGCTGCACCGGCCCAAGCACGCCATGGTCACCAGGAACCTGGAGGGCACCGAGTGCCAGGTAGGGCAGCCCACGTGCCAGGGAAAGGGCACGGACCCCCGGGGCAGCGGTGCCAGGGAGGGAGACGGGGGCACAGACCCCTCGGATGGAGTGCTGGGTGCCAGGGAGGGTGCTGTGGCCCGGGGGTGCGTTACCTGCTCCCCGATTTAGGTGTTCAAGTCCAAGTTCAAGAACTGGGACGACGTCCTGCGCGTGGATTACACCCGCAACGCCGAGACGGTGCTGCAGGAGGGCGGCCTCGCCGGCAAGGTCCGCAAGGATGCCGAAAAGAAGGACCAGATGAAGGCCGACCTCACGGCGCTCTTCCTGCCCCGCCAGCCCCCCATGCCCCTGAGCGAGGTAGGGCTGGGGACCGTCCCGTGCGTCCCCCCGTGGCGCTGGGCCGGGTACTGACGGAGGGGCTGGGGTGGCCACCGGCTGACAGAGCGCTTGGGGCCGCAGGCGGAGCAGCTGATGGAGGAGTGGAACGAGGACCTAGACGGCATGGAGGGCTTCGTGCTGGAGGGCAAGAAATTTGCTCGCCTGCCCGAGGAGGAGTTCGGCCACTTCCACACCCACGACTGCTACGTCTTCCTCTGCAGGTGACACCCGGCTCGTCCCCTCTCCGGGGCTGCTGGACCCCCTCGTCCCCCCGTCTCCCTGCCCAGACCCCCAACCTGCCCCATCCCTCGCATCACCCCCTGTTCCTGCCCTCAGGTACTGGGTGCCGGTGGAGTACGAGGAGGAGGAGGAGAAGAAGAAGAAGGGTGAAGGCAAAGGGGAGGAGGAAGGTGAGGAAGAGGAGGAGGAGAAGCAGCCCGAGGAAGACTTCCAGTGCATCGTCTACTTCTGGCAGGGCCGGGAGGCCTCCAACATGGGCTGGCTCACCTTCACCTTCAGCCTCCAGAAGAAGTTCGAGAGTCTCTTCCCTGGCAAACTGGAGGTGACCCCGCTGCGTGCTCCTGGGGGGTGACACAGGGTCCCCCAGCTTTGCCTCACTTCTCCCCCCTCCCCTCTCTGACCCCCGGGTGCAGCTGGGGCTTGGGGTTGTGTTTGGGGGGTCCCCATGGCCCTGCTGACACCCAGCCCTGGCCAGGTCGTGCGCATGACCCAGCAGCAGGAGAACCCCAAGTTCCTCTCCCACTTCAAGAGGAGGTTTGTCATCCACCGGGGCAAGCGGAAGGACAGGGCCAGCCCACCCCAGCCCAGCCTCTACCACATCCGCACCAACGGCGGGGCCCTCTGCACCAGGTCAGCCCTCCCGCGGGCTGCTCCTGGCCAGGCAGCCCCCAGGGGTGGTAGCCTCCGGGCAGGGTACACACCGGTGGGCACGGCTGCCTGATCTCTTGCTGACTGTACCTGGTGGGCTTCTTTTCTAGGTGCATCCAGATCAACACAGACGCTGGTCTGCTCAACTCAGAGTTTTGCTTCATCCTCAAGGTACCGCTCATGGCTGAGCATCCTCGGGGGTGCTCGGCCACTTGCCCCTCCCTCCCTCCCCGCTTGGTCAGCCCTGACTGTCTGCGCTCCCCCAGGTGCCCTTTGAGAGCACGGACAACCAGGGCATCGTCTACACCTGGGTGGGCCGGGCGGCCGACCCTGACGAGGCCAAGCTGGCCGAGGACATCATGAACCACATGTTTGACGACTCCTACAGCAAGCAGGTGAGCGGGTGGGGGCACAGCGGGGCTTGATGCCGGCTTACCTGTGTGGCAGTGACTGCCAGGGTGGGGGACGGCCGCGCTCAGCCCCGTCCCTGCCCTCGCAGGTGATCAACGAGGGAGAGGAGCCCGAAAACTTCTTCTGGGTGGGCATCGGGAGCCAGAAGCCCTACGATGAAGACGCCGACTACATGAAGCACTCCCGGCTCTTCAGGTGGGTCCTGGCCCAGGTGGGGCTGCTCAAGCCTGCGCTGATCCCCTTCCTCATCCCGCAGTGCCCCGGGCCACACTAGCCTTTGCCAGGGGCTCAGTCCTCCCAGGCTAGCCGGGGCACGGCTCCCCACGACAGGCAAAGCCCCTCTCCCAACTCTCTGTCCATCCCTGGGCATCAGCCAGCTGAAACGGAGCTTCTCCATCACATCCCTTCCTTCTGCCTGAGCGGAGTCCTAACAAATTCATGTCTTTGATGCAGTCCCCTTCTCGTTGTCCCCGCAGGTGCTCCAACGAGAAGGGCTATTTCTCTGTGTCAGAGAAGTGCTCTGATTTCTGCCAGGACGACCTGGCTGATGATGACATCATGCTGCTGGACAACGGGCAGGAGGTGAGCCGGGGGCGTGAGGCAGTCCTGGGTCCAGGTCCAGGGCGGGAGGGGCTGGATCCGCCAGTGGCTCCGTCGGCTGAGCCCGGCTGTGCCTCCTTCCCGCAGGTCTACATGTGGGTGGGCACCCAGACCAGCCAGGTGGAGATCAAGCTGAGCCTCAAGGCGTGCCAGGTAGGGCCTCCCTCCTGCT